AATCGATTTATGAATTTCGAACAGCGGTATACTACTGTTGCCTTTATTTAATGTCTAATCTGAAAGTCTAACTTTAGTGTCTGTATATATATAGTTGACACGGAAATCTCTAGAACACTGTAGAAGGGAAACTCCTAGAAAACAATTTTTGACATTTTTCACTACCAACTAAGTAACGGATTGATTAATAAATCAAAAACGAAGTCGGCGACCCAATGATATATATCATTAAAATGGAAATTTATTGATCAACAACATATAGTTTTTTAAGAAAAATTCTATGAACTTGAAATTGGGGATTTTAGGATTTAAAGACAAATCTAGGAACATTTTTTGCCTTATTTCATGTACTTCCTATACAAATGTTTACCTACTCCGAAAGAATCCAATCAGTTATACTTCAGACAATAAATAAGAGATAAATGCTTTATATTTTCGATTTTCAATTATAGATCATAAATAAAATTGAAAATGAAAATGGGGAATGTGTAGAAGAGACAACAAACCGACCAAAGAGCAGAAAACAGCCCAAGGCCACCAATGGGTCTTCAACACGGCGAGAAAATCCCGCACCCGGAGGCGGGATTCACCTGGCTCCTAAACAAAAAGATGTACTAGTTCAGTGAAAATGGACGTCACACTAAACTCCGAAACATATAAATGAACTAAAATTTAAAAACAAACAAGACTAACAAAAGCCCGAGGCTTCTGACATGGGACAGACGCAAAGATGCGGCGGGGTTAAATATTTTCTTTGAGATCTCAACCCTCTCCTTATACCTCTAGCCAATACAGAATAAACAAACACACAGCAATACGCACAGTAAAACTCAGTTTAAAAGAAGTTCGAGTCCAATGTCAGAATAGGCAACAGATGAAACTAAGCAAAATGATAAATGATACATAAATTAACAAAGGACTACTAGCAGTTACTGACATGCCAGCTCCAGACATCAATTAAACTGATTGAACGATTATGTCTTCATCATATGAAAATCAAGAACAATCCCTCCCGTTATGGGTTTAGTATCATACATATCATAAAATATATGAGAAGAACATAACCCGTATCATGCCAACAACTGGTTTAGAATAAATGTGTTTATTTCCGATGCAAAGACCCTATTAGTGAATCAATATTAATTCCAAAATATGCCATCTTTATGACCTGACAACAGTATCGTAACTATATTCCTTCTGAATAAGTCTGTTTGAAGGTTTGGTTAGACTTTTAGGCGAATGACGACATTTTTGTTCTTTGTATAGAATATTTCCATAAAAGATTGGATGTGAAATACCTGAATAGGTAAGATGTCTGCATGTTGATTTATATTTACGAATGATGTCCTTGTGCCGATGATAAAATTTAGTAAACGTTTTGACTAGTTTGTGATATCGAAAACACTGGTGTAATAATTTTTCAGAAGTACAGAGATTTCTTTCGTTAAAATCAAATACATTGTTACATACACGAGCGAATCGAACAAGTTGAGATATATAAACACCATAAGATGGTGACAAGGTAACGTCACCATCTAAAATGGATAATTAACAATAGGAAATCAAAAATCATCCCTTTTATCGTACATTTTGGTATTAAGCTTCCCGTTAAAGATATAGATCTCAAGATCCAGGAAAGGGCAGCGTTCATTGTTAGTAGTAGCTTTATTTAAGTTCAGTTCAGCAGGATAAATCTCTTTAGTGTACATACTGAAGTCGTCATTATTGAAAGCCAATATATCATCCAAATATCTAAAAAGTGTTATTAAATTATTGTATCAGATGTTGTTTCGATGGGTCTTTGCTGATTTTAGTCATAGATTGTAACTCATAACAATACAGAAACAGGTCCGCAATAAGTGGTGCACATTTAGTCCACATTGGAATTCCGATAACTTGACGATATACGGAATCTCTATAGCGAACAAAAAATGTTATCTAGTAAAAATTCAAGTGCAGTTATTGTATCAAAGCAGGTCCAATTGACATAGTTCTTTTCTTTGTTGTTACTAAAAAATGACCTAAAAGAGTTTGAACATATATATTCGTATTCTGACTTTTTAAATGCCCATTTAATTAGGTGTGTATTTTTTTCTTTATGAGATTATGGGGCAAAGTGGTATATAGGGTAGAAAATTCAAAACTTTGAACAGATTCGAAATCACCAATATAAGCATGCAATTTATCAAGTACTTCCAACGAATTTTTGACACTCCAAAAATAATAAATTCCGCTATTTTCAAAGGCCTTATTTGAACAATTTATTACCAGATGTTTTATTGTATCAAGTGTACTAGTAAGTAGAAAAGACAGTTTAGTAGTGGAACAATGGCTTGAAGACGAAGTAAATCTATATTTGTAAGGTGTTTTGTGCAGCTTTGGAAGCCAGTACATAGTTGGAACTTTCAATGTATTTGGGTCTGCTTGTAAATGGGTAGCAGAAAGTTTATCTTTGTTACAGATGTCATTTTCCGAAAATGGAGTCAGATGGAATGTTGGTGAATTTGTGATTCCCCTTTGCAGAACCTCATTGTAAAATTAACGTCAAACAATAATGATATTATTGGCAGCCTTATCAGCCGGGAAAAAAACAAATTCCTAGATGAGTTCTTTTAGCTTATGTTTGATACGAGAAATAGGGCTATTTTGGTTGTTGATAGGAGTAAAATGTTCTTTAAAATGTTTAATACGAATATCAACTATGTTCATTGCTGAATTAATAAAAGAATCTATTTTTGTCAGCTTTTTCTCGTTTTATCCATTTCGTGTGGTAATTATAAAGTGAGTCGTGGATGATGGTACGACACTCATTCCAATTAATAATTGACGGGGGGAGGGGGGCGATATTTGGGTCCTTTACTGAGGAATGATTTCAACTCTCGATGTTCAGGTCTCCTGTTATAACAAGGGAACTGGGTCCATAAATGTATTCGGAATTACTGCAATTTTATGACGAAGGTGTATTGTCACTGATATTAACATCTTTACACACTTCGCTATAATTAAACAAATATTTCCGGGTAGAATTTTGGTAAACATTACAAATAAGAGGGAGCTCAGTATTATCAAAATAGCCAAATATCATAGAGCTAAAGTTGTATGCAAAATTTTACCAAAATCTGTGACATGGCCCATTTACTGTTCCTTGATTAGTTAATTAATTGACATTTACTTATTTCTCACAAGTAAACATGACGTATGTCCAGTTCAGATGTTTTATCAATATTGTCAACATCGCGATGGCTACTGCATCGTGTCATTATTGTGTTTACATTGTCTCGTATATATACCTTTGCATATTAGACATTGACGATAGCGAGTTGATAAAAGCGAGTCAACATCGTGTTTATATTGTGTACCAAGTATACCTTTCTGTTTACATCGATTACATCCTAGACATCCCGATGTTGACAATATAGTGTCAACATCGTGTTTATAGAAATCAAAGAAACAGCAGACACGGCTTCCTCTGCCTCATTTTTACACTTATACCTTGAATTTGACATAAGCGGGCATCTAAGTACCAGAATCTATGACAAACGAGACGATTTTAATTTTAAAATTATCAATTTCCCCCACCTTACTTGCAATATACCAACTTCACCTGCATATGAGATATACATTTCCCAACTCATTCGGTATTCAAGAGCTTGCAACTGCTACTCAGACTTTATAAAACGGCACCAGTGTCTTAGCAAAACGTTGACGAACCAGGGTTATGTGAAAGAACGTCTCGTCCTTTTTCTAAAAAAGTTCATCGGAAGATACCAAGACCTTATTGATAAATATTCCGTATAAACTTCACAAATAATACACGATGTCTTGAAGTATAAATTCTAGGTACTGACGTTGTTTATCATCTTAATTACGTGTTATAGTGTTCTTTTATTTGTCTTTGTAAATTTTTACTTTTGCTGTTTGGTAATATCCATTTGACGTGGCTCGGTACTTATACAACCCGTCATTGTGTTATTGTGCTTTGGTAAATTTTTGTATTCTTGTCTTTTGTTTTGGCTCATGTGCTTTGTCTATATGCTTTTTTTTTCTTTGTTGACACATTTGTTTGTTTTTATAGTTATTATGATTATCTCACAATTTTGACTGCTGTACCCCTATTTTTGACATTTTTACCTATTAAGTCTGTTTGTTTTGTTCACACATTGTTGTCAATATAATGGAATTTTATGCGACTGTCATACAAGAGAGAGGTTTAGCTAGCTATAAAACTAGGTTCAATCCACCATTTTCTATATCATAAAATGCCTTATCAAGTCAGGAATATGACAGTTGTTATCCATTCATTTGATGTGTTTGAGCTTTTGATTTTGCTCTTTGATTAGGGAATTTCCGTTTTGAATTTTCTTCGGAGTTCGATATTTTTGTTATTTTACTTTTCTGTATACCAAGATTTTGTGTTTACATCGTTCACATGGTCAATATCGTGATGTTGACAATATCGTGTTAATATCGTGTTTATAATATTAATCGAGTCCTTAGTTTTGATTTTACATCGTTACATCGTCAACATCGCAAATAGAAATATCGTGTCGACATTGTTAATTTTGTATACAAAGTCTTTACTTTTGTGTTCACATCGTTTACTTTGTAAACTACGCTTTGTTGAATAATATCGTTTCGACATCTTATTTACAGTGTATACCGAGATTATATCTGTGTGTTAATCGACGAGGAAAGTCGCCTTTAATTGGCAATAACTCTTATAATGTGGCCTTTGTTAGTCTTGTATATATTTATTTTTATTTTGGTTCATTTACATGTTTTGGACTTTAGTGTGGCGTCCATTTTGCTGAACTAGTATACATTATTGTAATAGGGCCAGGTGAAGCCAGCCTCCAGGTGCGGGATTTTCTCGCTGCGTAGAAGACCCATTGGTGGCCTTGGGCTGTTTTCTGCTCTTTGGTCGGATTGTTGTCTCTTTGACATATTCCCCGTTTCCCTTCTCAATTCTATGTAATTTATTGAAAGTCAAAATACAACTGTGTTAACATTAATCAATTTATTAAAGCATTCTGGAATTTAACAATATGAATCACATTGGCTGTTAATCCAACAAAATTATAAAACAAAAACAACAACAACAATAAAAGCTTAATATTTCAATATTGAAGCAAACAATGAACATTTTGATATTTTAATCAGTGATGCATATTTGGCACAGAGGGGTAATTGCTGAGAAAGTACAATGTGTTCTTACAATTCTACAATGTCTTCTTACAATTCATCCTTTAAATGTGCAGAAACACACACATTTCTTGTTTTGTTTTACTTTTTTTCATCTAGACACAGAAAACCCATTTTTAAAATCTTTAATATTCTTGATACAACTCGAAAGTAATTTTTCTTCGACTCAAATATAAACTGTGGATTTCATTTTCGTCTTTTTCAGTTTTGAAATCAAATAAAGTCCTCGTTAACACCATGGGTAAAATAGAATTCAAAACAATTGTAGATAACGTTTGCTTGAAAAGTGCCTTACATTTTCTTTTTTTCTCATCTCAGTTTCTTTTACTTTCCACCAGACCTATATTTGAGAATAAAAATGACATCATTCCCATTATTTTACTAAAGTCTTCCCAGCAACGTAAAAAAAAACCGAACAAAGAAGTAACAGACGGGTCACGTGGATCAATTTGAGGATTCCAGTTTTGCGCATGCGTAGTCTTTTGACTGATGTTATTAACACTGAGCTTTTTCGTATTCAGAGAGTTGCCTCAGTATCTTGCTTGAATGGGGTACCAGATTTCTTTGCTTTTAAATTAAACAAGTCTTCTGCTAATTCGGGGTTTTCAGCATACCTCTTTTCAAATTCTGGAAAAGAAAAAGAAAATGTTTGATCACGTGACAATAATGAATTTAAATGCAATGACATGTTTTACGAACATGCCCCGCCAATGGTGTCAGGCATATCTTTAGGCAGGATAATTAACCAGACAGCCCCGCCAATGGTGTCAGACATATCTTTAGGCAGAATGATTTACAAAAAAAAATGTAACCAGTAATGCTAATCTGAGTAAATTACTCAATGCAACAACAAAATTGGGCAAAACGAAACGTTAAAATTGCATAATATAAAGTGGCAACACGTTTCGTGACTGAATTGAAGAAAGTACTTCATCTAACTGTTTAACAATGATAGTTTTAAATCATTTATCAATATTATATATAATATTCACCTGACCATAAAATTCTAAATATATATGTCAAAATTTATGGTAATAAGGGTTGAAGATTACAGTCGAGATTTTCTCAAATTAAATATGCATACATTCGATGAATAATTTTCATCAATTTGGAAAAATTAGTGAACTGAGACCCCCCCCCCCCCCCCCCCCCCCCCTCCCTTAACAAGATGCTAATTTTAATGATGATTAATAAGGATTAAACTAAGGTGGGAAATATATCTTATGGGCATCCTATAATATGAGGCTATATGAGGGTCTGGGTGGGGTCCTTCAATTCTATATTCTTTAAATCATTAAGTCATTTTCTCTATTCTTTATAAATCTTGCAAATTAATCACTATTCTTTATAAATCTTGCCCATTATTCTCTATTCTTTATTTTTGGGGCCTGTTTTTCTCTATTCTTAATATTTTTGGCCTTTATTCTGCACTTTTTGCCCATTATTCTCTATTCTGTAAACCCATCCATACCCTTCTATATTTTGATTTTTAACTCACATTAATAGAAGCACTACACGAAAGACTAGATTTCATTTCTACAATTTCTGTATTCTTCTTTTAAGTTTAATGTTAATTTCTTCTATTCTTTTTTTTTGCTTCTGTTCGATTTTTTCTATTCTTTTATATAAAAGCATCCAAGACCTCTTTTTTTTTTTGGGGGGGGGGGGGGGGGGGCTTTTGCTAGCCCTATTTTCTATTTTCTATTTTCTCTAGCCCCAACTAGAGTCTCCTACACTGGTTGTTGGGCCCGGGTGATTGTGTTTTCATTGTTTGATTTCAATCCTTTGCTAGCACTATTTTCTCTTTTCTGTAAACCCTATCTAGACCCTCCTACACTGGTGTTTTGGCCCGGGTGGTTGTTTTTTATCATCATTTAATTTCAATCCTTTGCTAACCCTTTTTTCTCTTTTCTCTAACCATCCCATTTAGACCCACTTACACTAGTTGTTGGGCCCGGGTGGTTGTCTTACCTGCTATTTCCCAGTCCTCCCAGTGGCCATCTTCCTCTTCATCATCACTATGGGGATTCTGAGATCGTTGTTTCTTTAGATCTTCTATGGTGTCATGGCAACGTTTTAATTGTGACAGGAGAACTTTGTCTTGGGCTCGGAGTCCAACCTGAAAAGAATGAAATGAAATGATTAAAATGACGTTGGTAATTTGACTAAGGCTCGGAATCCAACCTACAAAGAATAGAATAAAATGATTAAAATGACATTGGTAATTTGACTAAGGCTCGGAATCCAACCTACAAAGAATAGAATAAAATGATTAAAGTGACATTGGTAATTTGACTTAGTTTCGGAGTCCAACCTACAAAGAATAGAATAAAATGATTAAAGAGACATTGGTATTTTGACTTAGGTTCGGAATCCAACCTACAAAGTGTGAAATAAAATGTTTATATGAGAATATCTGTGTCACAGATGACCACTAATATGTTTCATGTAATTGTCGTTACCACAACCCTGTTCTATTTTCCTCGATTGTGACATCATCGAATGAAACGTTTCATCGGATTTGTACTTGCATGAGCAACACGACGGTGCCATCTTCGGAGCAGCAACTGCTTATCCTTCCGGAGCACCTGAGTTCACCTACGGTTTTTGATTAGGTTCGTATTTCTCAATCTTTATTTTTCTATGTAGTGTTTTGTGGACTTGTTTTTTTGTGGTTTTCATTTTTTGCCATAGCGTTGTCCGGTTTTCGATTCGTGAGTTTTGAATGCCTCTTGTAATCGTCCGCCTGTTTTAAAGTATTCCACATTTTCTTATTTTTCTCTATTAGTGATACTCAAGTGAATTTAGTCTTTTCCCATAAGCCCATGTAGTGAGAAACCCCACAAGAAAAATTTCAAAAATACGTTGAAAATTGAAATAAATATTTTATTCATTTAGTGCGTCCAAAGCGTGTTTTGAAATTAACCTTCAGTAGGAACGCTAAAACCGAAAAAAAGAAATAGAACACAAAGGATACTGAAATACGTGAGGATCAATATAAGCAATAAGGGACCTTAATCAAAATCTAAAATATGGATTTTAAAAAACTTTTATTTTTTCGAAGGTACTGTATGTTCAGTTATTATTATGAAAAAGAAAAAGAAATTGCATTGCGAATTCAAAAGGTGGGCACATGGGACTATCTAAACCATCCAAAAAGGTAGGCACATGGGACCATCTTGACTAATTCAAAAGGTAGGCACACTAGGACCGTCTAGACGAATCCAAAAAGTAGGCACGTAGAGCCATCTCAACCAATCCAAAATATGGGCACATGGGACCATCTCGACCAATCTAAAAAGTGGGCAAATGGGACCATCTCGTTCAATCCAAAAGGTGGGCACATGGGACTATTTCGACCAATCCAAAAGGTTGGCACATAGGACCATATCGAAGTTTTGACATGTGCAGCTATGGTCGGTGTCAAATGATAAAGGAAGTTTCCAATGCACCTAGGTTTATTTTGTTTTACTTAAGAATCAAATTGCAGTTATGATTTACAATCAAACATAATATGTTTCGTACTTTTTGGGATTGGACAAAGCGAATTAATAGACTTTTGAATATCGTCCAACATCAATAAATAAACGTAGATGTAGTATGGTTAACCAATCAAAGATACGACTAAAAGACTACATGTCACTGAAGATCCTTCAACAATAAGCAAAACTTGCATCGTACAGTAACAGACACCGAAACACTCAGGAATTTACAAATTTATATTTAATGCTGGGAGCTTTTAATTCGGCTTTGTTGATTAAAATTTGTTCCATCAACTGAAATACTAATTATTTTCATTTTTCGATATAATATGAAGATTTAATTTTGCAGTTTTCAATACATTTTCGTCTTGCATGTTTCTTTTGATCACCTAAGATCCTTCAGGTAACTATAATAACATATCAAAAGAATACCCTTCAATTACCCCATAATCAAGATTACCCACAATGCATTCCGTGTGCATTTGAAGATTCATCATGAGATGTAATCGGCTTTGTTCTGTCAGCACCGATTACGTTCAAATCAAGATATAATTGTCATTGATAATGAAGTATGTATGTATACTTGGGGGTTACAAAAAGGAGATGGACTTGTGCAAAAGAAAAATGTCTTCTTTGTATTTTACTAGTTTGGTTACATTTGTTTTCACTTGTTCCGTTGATTGATAGCGTTTGATTTTGTCAGTTTTTGTAGACTTAAATTTTTTGAATTCGCCTTGTAGTTCGGTACTTTTATTATTTGAGTGCTGAACTATACTAAAAATTGCAGCTTCAGAAAGATAACTGATATCAGTGATTAAGATTATAACACAGTGTTGACTGCTGTACCCCTATTTTGATATATTTACCTATTATGTCTGTTTGCTTTGCTCGCACATTGTTGTCAATATAATGGAATTCTATGCGACTGTCATACAAGTGAGAGGTTTAGATAGCTATAAAACTAGGTTAAATCCACTATTTTCTACATAAGGAAATGCCTGTTCCAAGTCAGGAATATGACAGTTGTTTTCCATTCGTTTGATGTGTTTGAGCTTTTGATTTTGCCATTTGATAAGGGACTTTCCGATTTGATTTTTCCTTGGAGTTCGGTATTTTTTGTTATTTTACTTTTTGTAATATATGTTGTAATAAAACCAACCTGATTAAGAAGTAAACCAAGGGGAAGGTAGGGGATATAACTCTTAAAAGTCCTTTGTACGTTTTTATCAAGCACTTTTAATAAGTTTATTATAAGCTTCAATTAACACAGATTATTTAATTTTTGCTCCGCCCCCACCCCCAAACCACCACCACCACCCCCTTTTCCCCAAAAACGAAATAGTTTCCTTTAAACTATACCTTGGGTTAAGGAATCTTTTTGTTTCTGTAACAGGACAGAAGTTATTTTGAATTGTCCCCGTCATGGGTATTTCATTTTTTGTTTCATTTAATTAACCAAAATTTCAACACTTCATTTTGCAAAATAGTTTCATTTAAGTGTAATAAATGGCATTTCTTTATGTTATATTGACTTATTGTAATCACATCCCAGCAACACCTTTCTGTACCTTTATCAGCAGACAAAAACAATAAATCAAAAGCTCGCGTGCCTTCTGTTAACTTTATCTTTTGGCACAAGTAATTTTCTACTTAAAGATAATAATCACTGTCATGCCTGTTTGATTCTTTTCTTAAGTAATCATCACCTTACAACCAGTATGTATAAAGTTTTAAACTTACAACCGGTCTGTACAAAGATTTAGAATTATATTATAATAAGATAATCGACTTAAAAACAATAACTACAACGTAAGATCCCCGATTTAAAACCAGTATGTACAAAGTGAGATCCTCGATTTGAAACCACTATGTACACAGCAAGATCCCCGATGTAAAACCACTATGTACAAAATGAGATCCCCGATTTAAAACCGCTATGTACAAAGTAGGATCCACGATTTAAAACCAGTATGTACAAAGTGAGATCCCCGATTTTAAACCACTATGTACAAAGTAAGATCCCCGATTTACAACCACCATGTACAAAGAAAGATCCCCGATTTGCAATCACTATATACAAAGTAAGATCCCCGATTTAAACCACTATGTACAAAGAAAGATCCCCGATTTACAATCACTATGTACAAAGTAAGATCCAAGATTTAAAACACGATGTACAAAGAAAGATCCCCGATTTACAACTAGTCTATACAAAGTAAGATCACCGATTTACAATCAGTCTATTAAAAGTTTTAAGCAAAAGTTATCCTTATGGGAAAGTAGCGAGCACGGGTTCACGTTAAGAGTATCTTATCTATAATCTTATATTCTATGCTCCATAATTAAAACAGTAGAATATTGGAACGTTTATACTGGTAGTATGTACTACATATAAATAATGGGAAGATCGAGATTGGAAGATAATATAAAATCAGGAGATGTGGTATGATTGTCAATGAGACAACTATCCACCAGAGTTCAAATTACGTGGGAAATGTGAGAAACGCATGACCTTGTGCAATGCCGAAATATAAGTAAACAGTATCGACCGGATCATGAACACTCATAACTGCACATATATAGCAATATATATTTAGTTAATGTTTTTATTTTTCAAAAACAAAACAATGTAAGTAAGGAATATTGGGTGTACGTCAATGAGATCAATGAGTTATCGGTACGTCAATGAGTTATCGGTTATCGGTATATGGCAGTGAACATGGTGAGTTATCGGTATATGTAAATGAGTTATCGGTATATGGCAATGAGATATATGAGGTATACGTCAATGAGTTGTCATTTTTATCAATGAGTTATGGGGTACATATCAAGGATATACGGGGTATATGTCATTGTGATATGGGGTACATGTCAGCGAATTATAACGTACATGTCAATGAGAAATCGGGTATACTATGGAGTATATGTCAATGAGATTTATGGTGTACGTTAATGAGATATGAGTATACGTCAATGAACTATGGAGTATATGTCAATAAGATTTAGGTTATACGTCAAAGAGATATGAGGTATACGTCAATGAACAATGGTGTATATATGTCAATACGATATAAGGTATAAAACCACTGTATAAAACTGGCAATGAACTATAGGGCGAATGTCAACTAGATATCGGGTAAACGTCAATGAGATATGAGGTATACGTCAAGGAGATATGGGGCATACGTCAATGAACAATGGTGTATATATGTCAATAAGATATAAGGTATACGACTGTCAACGTACTATGGGTGTATCAACGAGATATGGGGTAACGTCAATGGGATATGTGGTAAACATCAATGAGATATGGGGTGAACGTCAATGAATGAGATATGGGGTAAACGTCAATGGGATATGTGTTAAACATCAATGAGATATGGGGTGAACGTCAATGAATGAGATATGGGGTAAACGTCAATGAATGAGATATGGGGTAAACGTCAATGGGATATGTGTTAAACATCAATGAGACAACAAAGTTTTTATGTGTTGTGTACAAGTTATCATTTTGTACAAATTATAATTTTTATGTTAGATTTGTACAAATTAAAATTTAGTCACTTATAACTTGTACAACAGATATATGATAGAAAAGATAGCCTTTTACATATGGTTAACAGTAATACATTTAAATTGATTTGAGGAAAACATTTTTGCATTCAACTCTTTTTGACCACTTTTGAACTGTTCATTATTTTGGGATCAATTGTTTTAATGAGTTGTCAAAGATATATATCCCCGGTGTTTTTGAACATGGCCAGCATTGTTGATCCGACAGCAGGATAAATTTGTCCAAGATATTCTGAACCTAGAAGAGAATAATACAAATCACGAAAGCACAATCATGTGTTCGCCAAGGATTTTTGATACCGCGTTTGAACAGCTGTACGAATTTTAACAGGATATTTGTCTAAAAATAAAATTGAAGCTGTTAAAGACACACGTTTATTCGCAGCAACGGTTCATGAGCTTCAACTTTCGCTATGTGAAGCAGTTAAAAAGCTATTAAAACTGTTTGTCAGGGGTTTCTTTCATGTAAATGTAAAGGGGGTGCAGCACTTTTTAATGTTAAAACAAGGAATTTTTTGAATCTGGAATAATTTTGAATTCTGGAAAATTGATAAGAAATGTATGATAAAAACTAACCCCATTAATGATGGTTAGCCATGTATGCAAGGCTAAGGGGGTTAGTTAGTTCATACTGAAATATTAGTGAAAATAACTTGAAACTTAACCATGCACTAAAGTTGGGTTAGTTTTCATTATTCATTTCTTATCAATTTTTCCAGAATTCAAAATTATTCCAGATTCAAATGATTCCTTGTTTAAATGTAAAAAAACAAAAGATATTGTGAAATTCCCGATCCCATAATTCAATTAACTCACATGCTCAAACAAATGAAACGGAACAATTTTGTATTTTGGTAATAAGGTTTACAGTGTGGTCATTAAATAGAAATGCTTTAGCGTATATCAATGCTTTTTTAACTAGATTCATATTATAAATTATTGTACAATTATAAGTGAATTTTAGTCACATTTTGTACAAATTGTAATTTGTGCAAGCGCTTTTTGGACAAATTACAATTTGTACAAAGTTAAAATACAAATTTTAATTTGTACAATTTTTTTGTCAAAATTATAATTTGTACAAAAATGATAACTTGTACACAACATATGCATCTCGCTTCAATGTAGTAGTCCTGAGTTAAAAACTGATTCTCAGGTTTTCTGTATACTGATACTGTACAATATCAGCTGGTAGCCAAAATATGAAGCTTTTTATCGAGTAGGCGGAATGAACCAGTTCCAATAGGATTCATATGGTGTCGAGTATCTGATATTTTACAATGACCAATATGATAAAAATCTGCTGATCGTTTTATCGGACTGTATTTGTGCGTTTTTCATGATAAAATCATTACTTTGTCTAGTTTCACCAGCAACACGAAGAAACCTTGCTAAGTTTTGTTAAAATTTATCGACGTTGGGTCAACACTATATTTGACCGCACATAACAGTGATGTTCAATTTTTAAAAACTGATAAAAATGATACAAGCCTGTGGCTCTTTTCACAAAATATCTTACACGACTAAAATTGATCGTAAGTTATACTGAAATGTTCATGACTTACGTGTATTTTCACTCGTAAGATTTTTTTGTGAAATGAGTCGCTGGGGCGGATCCAGGATTTTAGGTTAAGGGGGGGGGGGGGGGGGGGGGGGGGGGTCGCAAACTTAAATTTTCGCGAAAAATCTTTTGAGGTAAAATTATCGAAATATTCTTTATTAAGCTGAGGACGACCCATGCTTGACAAATTTTAGGGGGGGGGGCGCACGCCCGCAACGCCCCCGCCTGAATCCGCCCTTGCTGAAACAGAGGGAAAACCAATGAATATCAAAAGAGAGGCAAAGGATACCAAAGGGACATTCAAACACATAAGTCGAAAATAAACTGACAACGCCATGGCTAAAAAGGAAAAAGACAAACAGACAAACAACAGTACTCAAAAAGCATAAAATATGCCTTACCAGTTCTGACCGTAACCATTTCAACGCTTCTTCAATTCTTCCCTGCTTCTCTGTCCATGTCTCCTTTTCTTTATGCGGCATTGCAATTGGAACATGTCTAACTTGAGGTCCATTAGGGTCTCCTTTCAGGACATCTGGTAAATTACTTGAACTATTTGATTCTGATTTGGAAGGGTTATCTCCCTTATAGGAGTATTCTTGTTGTGACTTCCTTGGGCTAGAATATGGGTCATCTTGGATCACCGATGAAGCCCGAGAGGATCCAGACGAAAAACTTGATAATCTAGACATAAAACGATCTAAAGGTTCAGAACACAATGAATTTCGAGAACTATTCATACTTATACTCGGAAAATATCGTATACTAGTGTTAGAATCACTATCACTGCCGTCCGCACCATTAACGGGAACGGAATGCGGACGTTCGTGATCTTCGGGAGTTGTCGGACAATCAGAGTATATCTCGTGAGGCACTGAATGTCTCTCGTCCTTCATAAACTTCTTCTCTAATTTTTTAGATAAATCCGAATCATTTCGTTGTGAATATGTCCTTTCGCGTTGTTTGTTGTAAGTTTTGAATGGCGTAGTAGCAGACGAAGATGGCGAATATTTATATTTTGAAGGCGTAGAAGCAGACGAACTTGGTGAATATTTAGATTTTGACGGCGTTGAACAGCGGCTAGAATAGTTTGATTGAGAAGGCGTTGCTGTGGAATCTTTTCTCCTGTCATTCACTTCTTCAGATATAGTCTCGTTTGAACTCGAGGTTTCATACCCCGATGTCGTGGAATATGAAGATTCCGAACGTCTGAATCTATTTTTAGTAAATGAAAAGACGTCATCGGCAAATTCTGCATCCGCATCAACGGAAGTCCTTGCACTTGATGCAAATGAGGGGAAAGAAGAAAATAATTTTTCTGTCCGACTTCTTTGTTTCTTACGACTAAAAAAGTTTTCTATGTATTCATCGGCAGGTTGTGAAAATATGTTCATGTCTCTCCAATTAAATCCTTCCTCGTTGAAATCATCTAATAACCGAAAAGTATCTTTCAATGTGTCACTGTCAAATTTATCGAAATCCACCATTTTGAATGTTTGCCTGGTAAATAATTCAGATTTTTTTCACTAAATGTTTGGCTCACATCATTCAAATAGTTTTTTTTAATTCTCATACAACTTAATAACAATTTTCAAGTAAAAAAAAATGCCGTGAAGTCTTTTAAAATCTTATATCACTTTTTTTAGATCCATTTGTTCTAGCTACCGATATATTCCCATCTGAGCAGACGACACAATGTGTATTCACGCGCTGAT